TCCTGTAGATTTCTATATATTTCTACATTTTGTTCACAGACTCCAACAGAAATGACACAGAGGTTTTTGGTTTCCTCCCTAATTTCCTGTTGCCCTCTCCTCTCTCTGTGTTTCCCACCATCTCTAGAAGACTGTCACAACCTTATTTTAACCCCCCCCCCGGGTGAACAGTGATAAGCTAATAGTTGGGGCTCACCATTTAGCAGTGTGTGAAAAGAAAAGGGAAAGAGGTGATGAAGGACAGCTATGGGATTAAAGTAATGTTTTGGTGGCTGGGTGGTTTATGCATGTGTGTACAATGATACAATTGCCAAGTGATTAAATTGCTACCTCTTTGCTGATTGGCGTCAGTCGAGTGGTGGTTGATTAATGCATAAAAAACAATTATTTATTTTTGAGTAGATGTCATTTGTGGTTTTCTTTCATAGCCGTGCACAAAAAGAGTTTAAACTATAATTCACCTTCTCTTGCAGGATATGAACCCTAATATTGTTTTGGGCATATTTTTTTATTTATTTGTGCATTCCTCTAAGTTTAGTCAGACTGCAGCAGCAATAGAGACAGGAAATAACAAGGGCAGGGTGGAAATTGGTTAATGCGAGAGTAAATCTATGTACAAGAAGTGGTCTTGTGGTACGGAATGAAAACATGTTGTTTGGTCTAGCTACAGAAAATTGTCAAGCAGTAGTATTAGCTGCCTGCTCCTTTGTGGCCCAGTTGCTGCTACTGTTGGAGCACACTAGCTCTTCTACAGATTGACGCCCTGTCCACTCTAATGCAGATATTTTGCTAAACAAACTTTTTCCTCTGCATTTGAGTTTCTTGTCCACTAGCAAACAGACTATTTTGTCACTCAAACTTTTTTTTTTTTGCAAACCAGGCCCGCTTCCTTGCTCTTTACCAAACGAGTACCTGAGTGCGCCCAGCAAGTGTTGACAGTTAGTGTTGACAGTTAGTGTTCCCTAAGGATTGAAGCTATTTACATTTTGTGCACTTTTGTTAGTTTTTCTGCATTTCACCAGGCTGTGGCAAAGTTCTTTGTAGCTCTTGGTGCAGCACGGATCGAGCCTAGTTTGAAGTTTACAGTTTTAAGGATTGTATAACCCCATAATTGGCCCCTATTTTTGGATTAATTCAGTTGATATATTATTGAGTTTTAGCAAGTCTGTAAAGCAGACAACTACTAATTTAGGCTAATGTATTCAACAGTGTGAAAAAGAGTGCACTATGTCTGCTGTTGTTCTTTCAGTTGGTGTTAATTACTGTACAGTGGTACAACTTTGAATACTTCCTTACTTTCACCTGATCCCTGTGGACAGAGTTTATGTTAACTGACTCTTTTTGCAACTTGTCAAAGAGATACAATTTGCCCTGGTTTTTGCTATTGTTAGGATTGCCTCAGGGAGCACATCATCTGTTAAAGTAGGATGAAGTCTACAGTTTTATTTGAAAATGTTACAAATAAATATGGACTTCTTATTTTGACGGGTTAATGTATACATCTATAAAAGCAGACATTTTATGTCTGCATCTGCCATTGGGCTATCAAGACACGAGTTGGCATAAATAATATGTTAATCCCACTACAGGAGAGACTTCATGTTCTCTGCATGAGTTGGAAAACTTGCATATATCAGTATCGGCAATCATCTAATATATCGGATATTGGCAAAAAATCAATATCATGCATCCCTAGAAAAGCACTTAGGTTTGAAAACTCCTGGGCTGTGTTGCAGTATGGACGAGCAATATGAATATTGATAATACAGTCGGCCACATTTGCTTCCTGATGCGTTGTTATGAGTCTCGACTCGACTACCAGCAGTGAAGGCAAACTTTCAAAACACTCACAGTTCCACTTCACTCTGTCCAAGAAAAGAAATCCCTCACCTAACTTTTCACCATTGTTGTTTGTCATGCGCAGTTTTTTTCTGTAACCAAGCAACCAACTTTAAAGTGGACAATTTGCTTCCTGTTTACATCGACACTCACATGCTGTAAATGGTCACGTGATATAGGTTTCCAGGTACGTTAGTAGGGACGGTGATAATCGTTGATAGGAGGAGAGTCATGTCTGGTTGTATTGATACTGTACATTACCTCTACACTTTTATTGAAAGACACTTACTGTTGCTAACACACAAATAGACACACACAGCCTTATGCACACACATGCATAAACACACTCACACGTACGTGCACACATACGCTCACACATGCTTTAACCAGCTGGAAACGTTATGCTCTGCTGCAGGTGACCTTTCCTGCTGCACAGCAGATGTGTGTCTTGGACTGTGAGTATGTGTTTGAAACCCAATGCCTTTTAGTGTCCAGTTTGCAGATGTTGTGTGTGTACGTGAAAAATCATCACCTTGTTTTTCATATATTAAAATGGACCCAAAGAGCCTTTTTATGCCTGGCAGCATCTGGACACCTCACACTATCCGTGTGTGTGTGTGCGTGTGTGTATGTGTGTGTATTTAGTGTGTATTCTTGATTTTTAAGCAGACTGCACTGGAAGAAATGGCCACGGGCCCATAATACACAAACATATACTAAAAGCAGTCCACACATTTAAACAGCTGTCCCAGGGGCTGACAGATTACAGCTGACCCTGGATAGTACTGTGCTACTATTCCTCTTTCAATTTCCTTCCTTTTTCCCAGACAGTCCTCCCTCCTTTTTCCTCTATTTCTTTTTTTTTTCTCTTCTTCACATCCTCACTTTCTCATTTAATTCAATCCAACCCTCACTGACACAAATCTAACGGTGCATTCACCCTTATGAGTGGGTGTAAGCCACATCACAACCAGTGAAAGGGTGCAGCGGGATACTCAATGTCACCTTCTCCTAACATCTGGGCAGCTTTTTCTGCACCTTGGTTTTGAAAGAGAAAAATTGCTTTTAATTGCCCTTTAATTGGTTGACACATAATCAGTGAAGTGCATGGATTCTTGTCACTGACTGTAAAATATAGCTCAGATCACAGACAGGATTGTGGGAAGGGGGGGCTGATTCACTCAGGTGAGAACTACAGTAAATGAAGGTGAAATGTCGTCTCGTAATCGTTGAGCCAGTGTACAGAGAAATCAGTGGCCTTGACGATGAATGATCAATCTTATCGATGGCAGCACTGTGCCTGTAGACTTGGCTTCAGGTGAAAACTCTGCCTGGTGCATGCTAATGACAGACCGAGGAACATTAAATCATTAATGCTTTACTCATGTGTGTTAACAGATATGCCTTTGTTCAGGCTATGTAATATCAATAAAGCATTACAACACTTGTTGCTTATCCTAATGCTTAGCATCAGGCTTACTGTTAAACTTCAGTCAATCAACAAATGACAGAACAATGACATCTTAGGATGTGTCACTGTTGAATTGTGGTTTTATTTCTTTTGAAGAGACACTGCAAATTATTCTGTATTTTGTGTTGGTAGCAAGCGTCTATTAAATGTTGTTTATAATTGCCATCACACAAGAGGCAGGAAACAGAATGACCAGATAATTATTATTATTATTGTCATAACAACACATTTCCAAGAGCAAAAGGAAAATACCAAACACAAAATTAATTAATTTATGATCTATGGCAGAGGTTGCTAATGGGCGGACACAGGCTCCATCTTACCCAGAGCCAGACGTTTAACTGATAAATCATTGAGAGCTTTTCTATCCGTTCACCAGGTCAGTGGCCGAGGAAACTTACACACCAATTACATGCCCTGTCAATCATGTCACGTGATGCCATGCAGCCAATCAAATCTGCGATTCTGATGAGCATCAATAGTGAATGATTTACACACATCAGGGAGCGATTTACAGAGAAGTAAGAAAAGTTAAACTGTTAAGTGGAAATCCATAATTCAAGAAAAAATTCTAAAATTAAGCACATTTACAAAAACAGCTTTCTGTATTTAATTTTACTTGATATGAGAAAAGAGTTATGTATAATCCCTCGAGATGTATCTGTTGACTATACACAGCATTGAAACATCTAATATTTCAATGTATATTTCACTGAATCATAACACTTGCAATTTTTGTTGAATACTCCTATTCTGGGTGTGTATCGGTCCCCGTCTGTGTGTACTGTACAATATTGTACTATACATCAGTCTCTTCAGATTGCTCGTGGGCCACATAAGGGAATTTCAGAGAGTCCTCAAGCAGGGAAGAGAAGCAGGAGAGAGGAATGGACGACGAGGGTGGGAATTACACAGAGCCAGTTAGTTCTTAATGCTTGTCACTGCAGGGCGATTGGGTGGGAAAGTGGACTCAGTGAGATTCAGTGCCTCTTTCATATATAGGGTGATACAATCGGAGTAGAAATACTACAACCTGCACTCTATCTGTGAACACTGCTTACTAGAAACTGCAACCAGTGGCACATTAGTATCAAATCACAAAAGGGCTGCTTGCTTCTGTAATAAAGACTCTGGGCTTGTCAATAACAAATGCTATTCTCATTGTTATCACTTTAATCGAACCTGTAAGTCTTGAACAGAAAAAGGTACATCCCAAAATGTTCTCCTTTTTTTAGAGAAAGGTTTAAGTCCTTAGTGTGTGCTTGCAAGGGGTTATAGTTATAGTTGTGAGGAGTGTTAATATGAATGTAATTGAATGTTCCCCTCATAGAATGTTCTCACCTGAAGCCTGGTTGCATTGATGTGGTTGATGGAATTTTAATTATGGAATAATTTGTTCTGGTTTCAGCTGCAGCAAGAAACTTTGTAAAACCTTGTTTAAATTCTGTCATTGTGTGTTTGGGCACACTCACAGCTTTTTTTTTACTTATCTCCCTCTCTCTCATTCTCTCGCTCTTCCTTGTTTTGAGACACTCTCTTCCTGTGTGTGTGTGTGTGTGTGTGTGTGTGTATTTGCAAATGCATGCACCATCATGTTTTTTTCCCCCAATCCTAAATCTTCCTCTTCCCTAGTTGCCATCGTTTTCTCACTATGTGCCTAACACTTCTCTGTCTCCTCGTGTCCTGCTAGGGGAGCACCTGCGCATCTGTCCCCAGGGTTACACCTGCTGCACCAGTGACATGGAGGAAAACCTGGCCACGCTGAGCCGCAGGGAGATGGAGGGACTCCTCAAAGATGCTGGACGATCCTTACAGACCTCACTCAATGGACAGTACAAGGTCTTTGATGGTGAGTGTTTGTCCTCTCAACCCAGGAACAGAATCAAAACATCTGTGATGACAGCATATGCACGGACTCAGTTTGGGGTGTTTTTATGTCAGTTTTGATCAGTATAGTGACGTCTTTCATTTCACAATGTCCCTCTGGACATGTGAAACCTGCACAAACATGCACACACAGACTGACAAGTGTAAGAGATAAGTAAAAAAAGACCTTGTATCATAAAGAGAACAATCAAGGGGGGAGAGGTTAAGCCCATTCCAGAGCCCATCTTTAGGGGCTGCAACTAAACTACTATTTTGTTTTAGATTAGTGGAATGATTGACAATAGCAAGTTTTTGTGAAGCTGTAACGCTTACTTGCGTAATTTGTTAATCTAATAAAGTATGATTAAGAGGAGTGAAAAAAAATGCAAGGAGTGGGAGAGTAAGAAAAGTTTAACTGCATCCTGTGCCGCACTTCCATCTCATTTGTCCCCTGACACAACAGCTGTGATGATTGAACACAAACTAGCGTGACTGCTACTAGCCCAACCTCAAGTTTCATGAATCATGACGTTCAGAAAACTCACAATTTTACAGTGAAATGACAACTTACAATAATTAGAATTACGATTGGTGTGTTTTGGCAACATGCACCATAGTCTAAACTACTACTGTAAATCTCTTATTCTTAATAGTGTGAAACAAAATCAAGAGTTAATTGCAATGCTTTGGTTGTGAGAGAAGAAAGAGAAATCAATCTTACAATACTGGCACACCAAAGCAATTATTTGTGCCTAATGACCTGCGGCAGTTAATAGAAGGGTCTCTGTGCTCCACTTGTTCCCCTTGGCTAGTTGGTGACAATGAATCTGTCAGCTGGAGCTCTGAGCTTAGTTGGCCTGACCTTTTCAGACGATACTGATCACAGTGATCTCAGCGGCTGAGTGATATTTGTTTACTCTTCATCTGTCTCCATGTGTCATTCTTTTGCATGGTCCCTCCTTTTTTCACACAGGGTGCTGTAATTGTCATGCCTAAGGGATACGGTCATCCTGCCAAAACAAACTACGCACACACACGCACACACTCTCACGCAAACCTGTCCAAGATATACAAATTCTCTCCAAGATAGTTTATGTCATCCTAGAGTCGTTGAAGTTTCCCATTTTTCAGGAAAACACCTCATTTAGCACAGCGGAGCAAGTAAACAACACTGACTACAGAGACACGCATTCAAGCAGCACTCAGCCGAGACCTCTAAACATCCTAATGATGTACATCCCAAAACTTGTGGATAAATACACTAAGAGACGCGTCATGAATGTGGTAACTTGTGTTGCCTCACCATGAAGTCATCTGGAGCTTTTCATGTTAATGAGCTGTATTTTTTGCCAGACTTTTTGTATTTCGTATGGCTGATCTTTTTTTTGGTTGACCTTAAATTGAGCCTGCACAGGCTGTCCTCTCTCCAAAGCTCATCCATTCCAGCACTTTTAAAATGTGCGTCTTTTTTGTGTTTGTCAATTCTCCTCATCCTCGTCTCACCCCTGTGAGCATCAGATGGGGACGGCAGAGTTGACAGAGGGAGGACAGAAGTATATGTGCGTTTGGGCCTTGAGTTCTAGCAACCATCTGTTGTTGACAGCGTCCTCTTTAGACGAAAGCTGAGTGATCGACTGGGGTTGATTGGACTATAATACTTTACATTTGCTACCACGTGATCGCTGCATTTTGGTGACTGAACTAAGCCATTGTGGAATCTAGTTGCTGCTTTTACTCTATGTGACATTGTGCCATGCTGCCAGTCCCTGCACATCTGGCTGCGTTTAGCAGGGTGTGGGCTAGCTATTGCCATGTGGCTAAGTGTAGGGTGTTACTGTTCCAGCCCAGTCGGACTCGGCCTTTTTAGGTCCACAGACCTTAGATGAAGCCTCAAGCAAGCCACAGATTAGAGGACAAGCATGCAGCACATACAGCTGAGAGTGTGTACACTGCATATATGTGAGCACAGAGATGTGTGTTTAAGTTTGCAATTTAGTGTGTGTCAATGTAAGTGACTGAGATGATCTTTGTAGCCAGTATGTGTGTATGTGGTTTGCACCTAGTATTTCCAATCACAGCTGCCACTGATAGTGTGTTACTGGATACAAAGAAAACAATATGTGATGTTACACAAAGACGCAGCACAAATTGCCGAGAAGTTGGGTGAAGGAAAGGACAGAATGAAAATGAGACAGATTGAAGGATAAATATGCAGATAAAAAAAGGGGACGGACACACAGAGCACAGACAAGGGTAAGAGATAAACAGGTAGAGATGGAGAGTGGTAGCCAGAGAGAGACAGAGAGAGAGTGCGACAGAGATAAACCGAGAAAGAGAAATTGGGTTACATATGAAAGTAAAAAGGTCAGAGAGGACATAGAGTTCTGGCAACAAACGGAAGTGTGTTTGTGTGTGTGTGTGTGTGTGTGTGTGTGTGTGTGTGTNTTGTGTGTGTGTGTGTGTGTGTGTGTGTGTGTGTGTTAGATGACACCCGGGTGTGTAAGACAGACGGAAGCCTTAAACCTGGCGGGTGGTGTTTGGCCTAATGGTGCTATCATTGGCATCTGGATTCACTGTGTGCTTGTGTGTGTGTGTGTGTGTGTGTGTGTGTGTGTTTGTGTGTGCGTGTATGCGTGCATGCATGCGTATGTGTGTGTGCATGTGCTTGTTCACTTGTACTACTGTCACATATAACTTCATACATACCTTTTACATTATACAAAGTGAGACTCCTTTACTCTTTACATATACTAAGGTCACAATGAAAGACCATACTAACAAAGTGTAGTGTGTCAAAAGCCATTTGGCAATATTTCACACTGGACAGTAAAACGTCACTATGTACCATATGGCTAACTTGGCACTAGTGCTGCCAGTTACAACATTAGCAATAGACCTTACACAAATACAGGATTAGTAGCATGCAACGGTATCGAATAAGTACCTGTTATCGGCCAATACGCTAAGTCCAGGTATTAGAATTGTAATTGTGAAGGAAAAACCTTATTGGAACGTCTCTCCTGCCTGATCTCTGTTTTTAACTGTACATGGTAGGGAGATTTAAAAGTAGAACTGAAATTAGTTGATTAATCAGCATGTTGACAGAAACAGAAACTGTTTTGGTCGAAAAATATTAATGAAATCAATTTTCCATGCCTAAGATTGCCTGGTTCCAACTTCTTAAATGTGAGGATTTATCTTACTGGATATGTATAAATATTAAGTGAATATCTTTGGGTTATTTTCAGTCCAAAATAACAAATCATACTTTAAGATGTTACCTTGGGGTTTACTAAATTGTGGTGTTGTTTTTCCATTATTTCTTCGTGTTTTATAGATTAAATGATAGTAGATTAATAGTCTTATAAATGGATGACTATGTAGATACATGGAAAACACGTGAAGACAAAAACAGATTTTGTTTTGATCTTAACTCAGGTCTTGAGTCATCACCACACACACAAACTGGCACACAGTATTTTATAACAGACTCATAAGCCAGTGTGTTCTGGCCCATTTCAGCACAAGGCAGATCAGTGATCATGGAGCTTAATCTGATTTGAAGAGCACTGGCTGGCTGGATAGCTCATGGGTACACTCATTTCTAGATGACCAGGCAGGACTCACTTATTTATTCATTTTAAGCAGAGCTCCAAACAGCTCCCAGCTGGCTTGTTAAGTAACGCCACCTCCTCCTGTGGAGACAGTCTGAGGGGGAGCGATCCATGAGAATGACATCAAGCGCACCCAAAATACATCCTATATCGCGTTCAGGAAACAGGCACTAAACTTGGATCTAAGGAGAAGTCTGCGCCGCTGTCAGATGACAGCGAGCAGCCTGCTGTATTTCCTTTCGGAAAAGGAGTGTGGCAGGCAGCTCATCAAGACGAGTTCTGGCACCAAGAAAACTAAAATCCCAGTAAGATCATGCAGCTTTATTTGCAAGTGAAAATTGTCAAATAAATGTCATTTACATTTGAGTATATGAGGATAAGTTAGGACCTGCTACACACTGGCGTCTATATATGAAACTAACAAACTAAAAAATAAAAACCTCTTGTTAAGATGAGTCTTCGATCAAAGCCTTGTTTTAAAATGAGTCATAAAATAATTCTAAATATTTCCACACAGACGAGAACACTCAAGCGACTGCAAACACTTAAGTATGTAGCGATAAAGTCTACATCAACAATTTATCAAATACCAGTGAAGATAGCTGTGATCCAAGCAATGTTTTGCAGTGATGCTAAATCTAGCTGAAAAATGTATTTTTTTTTTATTTTCTCATGTGCAAGCGTACAATACAGAAATGAAATGCCTTCCTCCACTGTCAAGACTTTTACATAAATAAAAAGAGAATATAGCTAAGGCATAAGTTAAAAACATAACACTGTGCAGTGTAAAAACCCAATGCAAGAAGTGAGAGTTCAATCTCATGGTGCCGATAGGTCATGTATTGTAAAATTCCAACATTGTAGCGGGGTAGCAGCATGTTTCTAAAACACTGTAGAATTGCAGAATGAATTGTCAATAATAAATAAACTGTCCTGTAATTAGACCAAGCAGTGCTAACCAGACAGAGAACAGGTATATTGCACCCATTCTGTTTTACATGTAAACAAAGATACACAGATAAGTGCTGCTGAAAATCTGCACTTCAATGCAAAAAAAATCATCGCTTGCGTGTTGTCGAGAGACCCAAACTCAGAGAAAGATTGCATTAGTGTGGACAGGGCACACGTTTTTCTCCTCAATTTCAAATCACAAAATCCATGTTTACTAGGACTGGACACTTGTGACACTCTCAACGCCTGTGTTGCAATATTCCTACAAGCAGGCAACAGTTTTGATTCACTCTCACATCACCCACCTTAATTTCCTGCTTTCAGGGTCACCTCTGGTGATGTCACGGGAGACAAGGACGTCTGCTCCCATTGTGGCTCATTTTATCTGCATGCAAATCACATCGGTAGGGACCTGGAG